GAAACTCGATTTGGGACTCATCCCATCTCCAGGATCACGCCCTGGGCCGAAGGCGGCGCTAAACCTCTGAGCCACCCAGGCTGCCCTGTTTTGTTTTTTAATAAAAACAAGTTGAATTCCTTTAAGTAGAGAAGACTCAATATTAAAATGTTAATCTCTTTGAATTGCTTACATTTAGTTGGATAAAATCTAACCTTTCCTAATTGAAAGAAACAAAATTATCAAGCTTTTAAAAAACTTTTCTGAAAACCGTAAGCAACACTGTATTCCCGAGCCATTGTATCTCTCAAGGAAACAAATTGGAAGCATTTTAGATTTTTTAGAATAGTCATAATTTCCTTTATAGTTTTATATTAAGCACATCATTTTGAACTATATCTCTAGAATTCTTTTTAAATATTTATTTATTTTTATTTATGATAGACACACAGAGAGAGAGAGAAAGAGGCAGAGACACAGGAGGAGGGAGAAGCAGGCTCCATGCCGGGAGCCCGATGTGGGACTCGATCCTGGGACTCCAGGATCGCGCCCTGGGCCAAGGCAGGCGCCAAACCGCTGAGCCACCCAGGGATCCCCTATCTCTAGAATTCTGAAACTATTACTGAAGTATGGATTTTAAAAAAAAATATTTGAGAGAGAGAGAAAGAGTGCATGGACAAGTGTGTCAGGAGGGGTAGAGGGAGAGAATCTTCAAGCAGACTCCATGCTGAGTGAGGAGCCTGGCACGGGACTATCTCCAACGACCCATGAGATCATGACCTGAGCAGAAATGGAGAGTCAGACACCTAGAACGACTGAACTACCCAGGCACCCCAAAGTACGGATTTTTATATCAGTAAAGTTGTTATAACGAATTGTGCTATCTCCTTCAATAACATGGTAGAATTTTCCTGGGTTAAGAAGAAATTAAGTACATATTGGTCAGAATGTTTTACTGTGGAAAAAGTTGGACAGAGTTTACATGAAGCTCTCTATTATGAATTTTGACCCTACCTGGTGCATAGAGAAGAATTTTCTAATTTTTAATTTTTTTTAAATACTGGTTCTTAGTTTGTGTGCATTGGGGCAGTATGGTATAATGAGAGTGGAATTATGTACATGTTATTTTTTTTAGTTTAATATATTTACTTTTGTCTTATTATTTTAAGATTTTTATTTTGAAATAATCTCTCGCTTTGTGCAGTGGCAGTATTGTAGCCAATGAGGTTTATCCGAGGCGTGATTATTGCTAATTGAAAACTGTAAATAATCTCTACACCCAGCGTGGGGCTTGAACACACAACCCTGTGATCAAGGGTTGCACTTATGGACTGAGCCAGCCAGGAATCCCTAGTTTAATGCCTTTTATTTTTATTTGTTTGTTTATTAAGATTTATTTATTAGAGCATGCAAGTGAGCACACAGGTAGGTGAGGGAGCAGACGGAGGAGAAGAGAGTGTTAAGCAGAGTCCAATGTGGGGCTCGATTCTCACAACCCTGAGATCACAATCTGAGCTGAAACCAAGAGTTGGATGCTTAACTGACTGTGCCAGCCAGGCACTCCATTTAAGGCATTTTAAAAAAAGATTTTATTTATTTATTAGAGCATGAGCTGGGGGAGGAGCAGAGGGAGAGGGACAAGCAGACTCCCTGCTTAGCAGGGAGCTCAACACAGGGCTCCATCCCAAGACCCTGAGATCATGACCTGAGCTGAAAGCAGATGCTTAACCGACTGAGCCACCAGGCACCCCCTATTTGTTTTTATTTTTTATTTATTTGTAAAGATTTTATTTATGTATTTATGAGAGAGAGAGAGAGAGAGAGAGAGAGAGAGAGAGAGGTAGAGACATAAGCAGAGGGAGAAACAGGCTCCTTGCAGGGAAACCTGTTGCAGGACTTGATCCCCAGACCCCAGGATCATGCTCTGAGCTGAAGGCAGGTGATCAACTGCTGAGCCATCCAGGCGTCCCCAGGCACCCCTATTTAATACATTTCATTTTATTATTATTATTTTTAAAGGTTTTATTTATTTATTCATGAGAGGCAGAGACACAGGCAGAGGGAGAAGCAGGCTCCATGCAGGGAGCCCGACATGGGACTTGATCCCAGGTCTCCAGGATCACACCCTGGACTGAAGGTGGCACTAAACCGCTGAGGCACCCGGGCTGCCCTATTTTTATTATTTTTTAAAGATTTTATTTATTTGACAGAGCACAAGCAGCGGGAGCGGCAGGCAGAAGGAGAGGGAGAAGCAGGCTCTCTGCTGAGCAAGGAGCCTGTTGTGGTGCTCTATCCCAGGACCCTGGGATCATGACCTGAGCTGAAGGCAGACGCTTAACGGACTGAGCCACCCAGGTGCCCCTGCCTAATCAATTTTAATAGCAATCTTACAGGAATAGCACAGAAGACGGGACGACATTAAAAACATGTATTTGCATATAGGACAACTGTTAGGAAAGTATAGTGAATGAATGGATCTACTGTATGATAAATATGCTACCAATCCCATATAGTTACTGTTAGTAAGAAATTTGCTTGTTTAAAGTAAATCCAGGTGTGCCTGGGTGGCTCAGTCAGTTAAGCATCTACCTTTGGCTCAGGTCATGATCTCAGGGTCCTGGGATTGAGCTCCACGTCTGGCTCTGTGTTCCGTGGGGAGTCTTTCTCCGTCTCCCTTTGCCTGTCCTCTGCTTGTGCTCTCTTGTGTGCATTCTCGTTCTTTCTCTCTCTCAAATGAATGAATAACATCTTTAAAAAAAATTTAAAAATCCAAATTGTCCCGAAAAATATAACAGGTTTGTTTATAATTGTTATGAAGTTGAACTGCTGAAACATGTTTACTGAAACATGAATGTCTTAGGTCCCCACATTTATTTTTTTATTTTTTTAGGCCCCCACATTTATATTAAAAAATTCACACATGGGGATCCCTGGGTGGCTCAGCGGTTTGGTGCCTGCCTTTGGCCCAGGGCGCGATCCTGGAGTCCTGGGATTGAGTCCCACGTCAGGTTCCTGGCATGGAGCCTGCTTCTCCCTCTGCCTGTATCTCTGCCTCTCTCTCTCTCTGTCTATCGTGAATAAATAAATAAAATCTTAAAAAAAAATTTGCACATGTAAAAATGGAAAAAATGCCAATACCTGATTTCTGTTCCCTATTTTTCCACTTGTAGTTGTATACTTAGGTACCTTTTGACCCCATGGGAAAAAAATCTAAAGTTCAGAACTGCGAAGAAAAAAAATTTTTTTTAAGAATGAAATGTTTTCCATCAGAGTTGATTCTTAGGCACATTCTCTGTGTGTGACATGCTAGCTGTATGTCTTTTGGTGTAATCGTCACATGTTTGGTATGGATAGCACACAGATTGGTGTCTTCAAAAAGGCCCACCAGATAGACCTCACTTGCCTCCTGCAAAGCAGCAATAGCTGCACTCTAGAAGCATAGATTTCTTTTAAAGTCCTGAGCAATTTTTTGCAGCAGATGCTAGGAAGGAAGTTTGTGAATCAGGAGTTCAGGGGACTCTTAATAATGTCCAATTTCATGGAGTGCCACAGTACCAAGGCTGTAACCATGAGGTTTCTTCACCCCGCCAGAAGAGGACATACTCTTCCAAGTTTCTTTTTGTAGTCAATTGCTTCCTCAGCGCTTACCACCAGTCAGTTTATGAGTGGTCTGCTTTGTACAAGCCATGGTATAGAGACCTTATTTACCTGCCTCCTCTCCCACTGGCGCTTGAGGAGCCTAGAGATGATGATGGTGTGGCATGGCTGCAGGCACTTAATTACGTACCCATTTATAGATAACAGTCTCTATTGTATTAGAAGACCTTATTACTTTGAATACTTAGAGTGGATTTATTTCTTCTGAAAGTCTGACAGACATAAATTAAATCTTTCTTCTTTTCCTTCCAGTAAATACTCTTCCCCATCTTATTTCTCCCTAGATACTTGATTATCTGGGCAAAATGTTGCTTGGTATAGAGGGGAGCCTAGGAGCTTTATTGTACCAATATAATGGGAACAGTATTCGGAAAATCTGTGCAGATATCTAATAATTCCTGAGAAGTTGGGGCCTAAAGTTAAAGATAGCTGCTTTGATTTGCCTGTATTCTGTGGCAACAGAGTTTTTACTGTCATTAAGTGAACTTAAATATTAAGCAGTTTAAAAAAATCTGCATAGGGAAAACATTAGGAAAAAATAAATAATTCAAACTTTTTTTAAGATTTTATTTATTTGAGAGAGAGACAGAGATAGTGACAGAGATAGCAAGAGAGAGCACCAGCAAGGTGGAGAGGGAGAAGCAAGCTTGATCCTAGGACCCCAGGATCATGATCTGAGCTGGAGGGAGATGCTTAACCAACTGAGCCACCCAAGCATCCCTAAAACTTACGAATCATGAACTTGTCTGAGTTTCTTCCATTTTTGTGAACTCTGTGGAAAAAATCCAGATATATTAAATTTTTATTTGATAAACACTGTTTTATGCAGTTATAGTGCTGATGGCTTATTAAACATTGTAGTTCATTTGTGAAAAAGAATGAAATGAATATGCATCAAAAGTGTCTTGTAGTTAGTTGTGTGTCCCTGGATTTGGAAAATGTTTTTATGACCCAGGCACATTTAAAGTTTATTACTTCTAGTTTTAGAACAGACCTCTTTATTTGAACTGGTGAGATTTTTTAACGGGATAGTAGGTAAATTCAATACTTTTCTCACTGTCAGACCACTACGTTTCTATTCTAAAAAGTAAGAATCTCTTGATGTCTAGCATGGTAATAAGTGGATGAACCTAGTGATTGGGGACAACTGTCTTGTTGTAGGACTCCTTACACAAGCACTGACAGTCACGCTCATATATGTTTTGTCTTTCTTTAGCAAACTAACTGACCTATCTTCTCATAATAATTTTGTGATTTTTGGAGCAGCTGGACAGACCTCTCATGCTGCTTTATTGCCATGCAGGTCATGCACTATCTAGGCCAGTATATAATGGTGAAGCAGCTTTATGATCAGCAGGAACAGCATATGGTGTATTGTGGTGGAGATCTTTTGGGAGAACTGCTAGGACGTCAGAGTTTCTCCGTGAAAGATCCAAGGTAAGAAGAGTGAGGGTTTGTTTATCTTTTTGGGTGCTTATAACCACTCAATCTTTATAGGATATTAATGGTTATTTATTCCTTTAGTCCGTCAATATTTAAGGGCCTACACATGTCAGGTAGCCTGTGATTCCCTAAGACCATGTTAGTGAGCAATACTCTCAGATTCTATGGAGCTTAAAGAACAGTGAGACTGTAGATGCTTTTCTCCATCTTCATGAGATTATCACACCAGCACATGGTAAAATTATACTGTGGATGTTACAGAAAAGAGGTACATGAAGCTGTGTAGGGGGTGGGATTTAGGATCTTAGGGGTTGAGATAAGGTTCCTTTAGGAAGTGATATTTGAGCTGAGAGCTTCAGGAAAAGTGAGGAGTGAGAGGTGCTGCAGGAGAGGGTTGGAGGAGAGCTTCTGGCAGAGTAAACATTGTGTGCAAAGGCCTGAGTAGGATGAGCTTGATGTGGCTGGGTTAGAATTTTGTGCAGCAGCTGTTCTAGAGAGGAAGAGTGAGCTGATGATGAGAGAGATGTAGCATTGCTGGTCGATGATGGGCTTCATAAGCTCTACTGTAGAGCTTCTCTGACCTGTTTGACTTTCTCCAGCTGCATAGAGTTACAGAGTTATAGAGTCAAAAGGTAATTAGTAATGAACCAATGTTTTCTTTCTCAGCTTTGTGATGACAGAGATAGCGAGAGAGAGCACCAGCAAGGTGCAAAGGGACAAGCAGGCTTGATCCTAGGACCCCAGGATTATGACCTGAGCTGGAGGGAGATGCTTAACCAACTGAGCCACCCAAGCGCCCCTAAAACTTACGAATCATGAACTTCCACCCTTTCCCCAATTAAAATTGTAAAACTTAATTCTTTGTAGGTAGGAAGGAAGGAAGGAATGCTCTCCAAAGGAAATCTTGTGTTACTGTTAGCTAATTAAATAAAATGTAAATTAATCAGTTTCTTTTTTTTTTAAAGATTTTTTATTTATTCATAGAGAGAGAGGCAGAGACACAGGCAGAGGGAGAAGCAGGCATCATACAGAGAGCCTGACGTGGGACTCGATCCAGGGTCTCCAGGATCACGCCCTGGGCTGCAGGCGGCACTAAACTGCTGCACCACCGGGGCTGCCCTAATCAGTTTCTTAATAGGGGCAAAGTAACACAAGTGCTTGGACATTATCATCTTGACATTTAAATAATTACTAACCTATTGTGGGGAAAACATTCTCTTCTCCATGTGTTATAGAGAAAGTTAGAAGATCACGTATCTGATAGACATGTAATATTTTAATGGAAAACCATGGGGTTATTAATTTTTTTTTTTTTTTTTTTTGTCTCTGACAGCCCTCTCTATGATATGCTAAGAAGGAATCTTGTCACTTTAGCCACTGCTACTACAGGTATGTCACATCCTATTTCTTCAGTCTGTATCACAGCTTTGAGCTCAAAGGGGCAAATGATGGGAAAACAAGGAGGATCAAGATGGAAATGAATTGCTATGTTGGCATGACTGGGAGGGATACTGTAATACAGAATGTTATTAGTATGTTAATTTTTCATTGTGAAAAATTTCCAATAGACTGAAAATAGATTAGTATAATACCCACCTCTTAGTAGTTAACATTTTCCTACATTTGCTTCATCTGGATATACTTTCTTTTTCCTTAATTTTACTTCTTTTTTTCATCTAGACATACCTTTAAAATCTCTAACAATTAAGGACCTTTTTCCTTTAAACGTAACTATAAATGTCATTCTTACATCCAACAAAATTAATAATAATAAGATGAATAACAACTTCATAATGCTATCCAATAGCCAGTGTATGTATAGTTACCCCCAATTATCTCAGAAGTATCTTTTTTGTTTGGCTTGTTGAAATCAAGAGCCAGACAAAGTCCACACATTGCATTTGGTTGGTATGCCTCTAAGTATCTTTATAAAACAATCCTCCTTTTATTTTTATGTCATTTATTTGTTGAAGAAATGGATCATTTGTCCTGTAGAATTTCCCACATTCTAGTTGAGGTTGCAGATTTTGTCCTTGTGATGTTAACATGTTTCTCTGTTTCTTTTATTTTTGGCAAACTAGTGTAATGCTGAATAGTTTCAAGTATAGATTTTTTGCTGAGAAGGTGTCATAGGTGGTGCTTTGTACATCTGTTGCATCTCATCTGAGTCATATAAGGTCTGCTTGTCCCTTTTCAGCGATATTGATTCCGTGGGCTCATGGTGTTAACCCAATCCATCTGTTAGAAAGGTCCCTGAAGAACTTTCATCTAGCTAATGATTTTAGCTTTCTGTTATATGAATGCCGATTTGTCTAAAACCCTTTGTTTAATTCCATATCTTTTAAATATTGTCCTTTGAGTTTAATTTATTAGGTATGTGAGGAAACGGGCTGCTTTGGGGTCTGAAGTATGGTGTATTAGAGATCAGTGGATCAACTGGATATAACTGAAATGTAACACTATCTCTTAATCATTTCCAAATAATGAAACTTTTCCCTTCCATTCCTAAGTGAAGTGCTTTTGTGAGCTTCAAATTAGATTTTAGGTAACCTTATCCTTTGAAGAAAGCCCAAGTTTGTAATTCTTTTAGATTGGTTATCTTTCCAGTTTACTGAAACAAATAATTGAAAAGAATCCATTCTTAATAAAGGTTTATTTAACGTGAGAACAGAGAAACTGTTTTCATATTGAAACGTGATTTTTAACTTATATTGAATTTTGGAGCCTGTTGACTTCATTGAGCCATTTGCTCATTTTACCCACTTCACCCAGCTGTAAATTTCTGTTCAGATGGAAGGCCTTGCAAATAATATAGTATCTTTATTGAAATTCAGTCACTTGTAAAATAGTAGGGCTTCCCTGGGATACTCACTGCAGGCCCAAAATACACAGAGGAGTGATTGATTGATTGATTTAAAATCAGTTTGGCAACATATAGTGTAACACCCCATGCCCATCCCATCAAGTGCCCTCCTTAGTGCCTGTCACCTAGTCACCTCATTGCCCCCATCCCTCTCCCCTTCTGCAACCCTTTGCTTCCCAGAGTTAGGAGTCTTTCATGGTTTGTCTTCCTCTCTGATTTTTCTCCACTCGATTTCCCTCCTTTCCCTTATAGTTCCTTTCACTATTTCTTAAAAATATGGAATGCTTCACGAATATGCTGTCATCCTTTCACAGGGGCCATGCTAATCTTCTCTTTTATTTTATTATTTTTTAAAAGATTTTCTTTATTTATTCATGAGAGAGAGAGAGAGAGAGAGGCAGAGACATAGGCAGAGGGAGAAGCAGGCTCCCCATAGGGAGCCCGATGCAGAACTCCATCCTGAACTAAGATCATTCCCTGAGCCAAAGGTAGATGCTCAACCACTAAGCCACTCAGGCGTCCCTCGTTCCAATTTTAGTATATGTGCTGCTGAAGTGAGCACTACACAGGATTTTGTATTTGTTGATCTACTCTATTAGAATTTGTTTTCTGATCTTTTCTCTGAATATCTGGAGTGGGTGTAATTCTCACTTTTTCTTCTTGCACTACAGTATTTAACATGCCATATATATATACACATATAAAATATATATATATTTTAGATTTTATTTATTTATTGACACACAGAGAAAGGCAGAGACACAGGCAGAGGGAGAAGCAGGCTCCATGCAGGGAACCCGATGTGGGACTCGATCCCGGGTCTCTAGGATCACACCCCAGTCCGCAGGCGGCGCCAAACCGCTGCGCCACTGGGGCTGCCCTAACATGCCATATATTAAAGTGAACATTTCTATAACATTTTATTTTTAAGCTATTTATTTGAGAGAGAGCGCACACAAGAGGAGGGAAGAGTCAAAGTGTGAAGCAGACTCCGTGCAGGGCTTGATCCTTGGACTCCTGGATCATGACTTGAACCGAAGGCACATGCTTAGCTATAAGACTGAGCCTCCCAGGCACCGCTTGATAACATTTCAATTGAATTATCACAACCACCCCATGAGGAAGGTTCTAGAGATGATGAAACTGAAGGGTTTTAAAATATTGTTTTATTTGTGTTTTTGTTTTTTGCTTTTTTTAATAGAATGAGTGATTTGTCCAAGATTGGTTGCCACTTACAATTGGTAGAACAGATATTTCTGACTGACCATTTCTTGCTCTTTTCATTGTGCCACACACTTGATATTATAACAGAATTTGCTCCAGTTAATTTTTCTTAACACAAATTTCTCTCTGAACTTTAAATCTTCAAAACATTTTATTCTTAAATTTGTCACTTTGAAATAATTTCAGTTACAAAAATGCAGTAGACGTATTATAAGGAGTTCCAAATGGTACTTTACCCAGATTCCCCAAATGGTAACATCTTATTTAACCCTAGTACAATGCTCAAAACCAGACATTTGCCACACAGTAATTTTGATAATTGTCTGCTCTGACTTGAACTTGCATTGGTGCTTGTGGTTGGTCATCTCTGTTCTAAATAAATTGGGTTGCGTGTATTTTATTTAAAAGGACAAATGAGAAAAAAATTTTTTTCTTTTTTTTTTTTTAAGATTTTATTTATTTATTCATGAGAGATAAACACACAGAGAGAGAGGCAGAGACATAGGCAGAGCGAGAATCAGGCTCTCTGCAGGGAGCCCGATGTGGGACTTGATCCTGGGACTCTAGGATCATGCCCTGGGCCAAAGGCAGGCACTAAACCACTGAGCCACCCAGGGATCCCCAAGAAAAATGTTTTCTATATCATCTATTGTACACCTTTGCAAGTGAGTTAAACCTTTATTTTGATGGTTGAGAAAATGCCATTGTTTAAAGTAAAGTGGTCTTTATGAATCATTTGTCCAGATCTCCATATGTATATGAACAAAATGAAATATATGACAAACTTTGTTGTTATTTTAAAGTTCCTTTGTACATTATAGTTTTCCCAGATAATTTCTTTTTGCTTCTTAATATTTTAATCTAAGGAAGGTAATAAGGCGTTAGAACTATAAATGACAGTAATCAAGTTGCTTTATTAAAGAAATGCTTAATCTGTGTTTTCTTGTTCATCTTTGAAGACCACTGTGGTCAGAAAATGCTTTCTCTTGAACTCCTCAGTATTCTCTGTTTACCTATAAAAATGCTCGTATAAAATCATGCTCTTTATAATTACAGTTTTGAAATTGTTTTGTGCAGAACAACTGAATTAATCAGACCAGTTGTAGGATCAGTATTCTTTTCTCTGGCAGTCTTTTATTACACAAGGATGAGGTTTTCTTTAAGTGTCTTATCTCTGGACTTGAATAGTAGCTAGTGAATCCAGCCCTTGGTAGACTTATTTGGGAACATTTCAATTACATATAACCTCATATAATGAGCGGTCTAGATTATTAAATTTTCTACAGCTTATTGTTTTCCTGTAGTTTTTTTCATTTTCCATTTTGCTTGGAAAATTTCCAAGTCCTCGAAATACTATCAGACAATCTAAGAATTTCACTCAGGTTACTGTTTTCTTTGCTTTTCATTGACTTTGGGAAAACTTTATTTGCTTTCGCTTCCCTCTTAGGAAATGTTTATAATAACTGAAATATAAAACTTGTTAATTACAAAATTACTCTATATTCAGGTAATGGGAATTTAAATCAGGAAATCTTCATTGACACTGTAGAATGTAAGTTTACATGAGGTGCTATTGTGTTATGAAGCAAATGGGGAAAATTCTAGATTTTCAGATTTCATAAGCCTGTATAACTTTTAATAGTTGAAAATAAAAATTAAGGGCCAAACTTTTTTTGCTGTTGTTTACAAGTTAGGTGGATTGCCTGTGGGAAGAAATGATAAAAAATATTCCATTATTTCTTGGTTGGAATCACTTTCATATTAAAATTTGAAATTTTGCTCTGAACATTTTTAGTTATTTTTCGTTTTCTTCCAGATTACATTTTGGTAATGCATTTTGAGTATAGCCTGTCTTGGTCTTTACCATTTTTATCAGTTTTGATCTTTCCCTTTTGGATGAGAGCTTTGTCCAACCAACATGGAGAAGTACAGCTTTAGGGAGCAAACCTGGCTCCAGGGTTGTTTGCTGAGGTCCTTTTTATGTGGAAAGAATGGTTATTACCAGGGAAGGTTTTCCTTTTGTTTTACTTGCTATCCAGATGCTGCTCAGACTCTCGCTCTCGCACAGGATCACAGTATGGATATTCCAAGTCAAGACCAACTGAAGGTAAAATCACCACACGGTGACTTCTTTTGTTGTACAGAGTGGCCCCTTCTCTGTACCTATGGATCTTGGACTCCCAAGACCTTTCTCTAAATGTGGTAAGAATTTAATAAGAAAGGTTCTTGGGAGTTCACAGACCAGGGACAGAGTGAAACTTCTCTGTTCTGCCCATAACAGAGTTCCAGTCTCTGAATCTTTCTTTGGGATGTAGCACTTCTGATCTTCAGTTCCTCCAGTTGCACTTTCTTTGGGGTTTGTGTGTGCCTGTGTGTGTGATGGTATATGTGTATAGGCGTTTGAAGAAAACTGCTTTATTAGACTTTAACAGGCTTGTTGCAGTTAAGTTCATGTCAGACCATTCTGAAAGCTTTCCCAAACCAGACCTGGGAAAACTTTATGATCGTTTTGGTATGTGCTGAGGGTTTCACATGTTTTCTGAATTATGCCTAATTTTATAGTCTAGAGGTTTTATATTGATTGATAGCCTGTTTTTAACAGTAGATTTTGGCCTTTTGTGCAGAGACTTTTTTCCCCCCAGGTTTGGGATTCTCTTAGCTCTGCTCACAGTGGGTCGAGGAGAGGTGTTGCCTTTATCTGATGACTGTTGTGAACTCCAGAGATCTCTTTCTCGCGCGTAACCCATTGTGCCGCCCAGTGACTGGTGAGCCAGAATGGAACTGCTACATCCCCTGGTCTCAGTCATTTTTACTGCACTAATAGACGTCTTTCCCTTTTTTTCAGCAAAGTGCAGAAGAAAGCTCCAGTTCCAGGAAAAGAATGGAAGAAGGCAATATTCCTACACTGCCTACCTCACAACATAAATGCAGAAATTCTAGAGAAGGTAAATTTTGGATTAAAGTTATACAGACTTTTTCTTTCTTTTTTTTCCCCTTTTGTTGATGACATCTAGAAAGGGGATTTATTCACATTAAGTACTATCTATAATTGGGACCATTCTATAGATAGACCACTCAAAAAATAATAATGCACTTTCTTTGCATATGAAGTTGGAGGGAGCATATGTCATACTTACTCATTCTTTTCAGAATACTTTTTCTTAAGCTTAGTGACCATTGTTAACTTTGAAGAGATGGTAGTGCACTTTTAGCAACTTGTGTTTACTGAGATGGAGCAAGACTAAGATGGTTCACATACTAATAGAAGATTGCTGCAGATTTATCGGTTTGCCACCTGGTAAATCAGCTGCCTTGGCCTTTTCAATCTTGACATACTTGTATGTATTCAGTCTGGTTAGGATTTTTATTTGGTTTGTTTGCTTGAGGCAAAGGCTAATTTGTGTAGAGTTTTGAAGTTTGCAAAGATGATATATACTTGGTATGTCTGAGCCAAGAATGAGACTTAGAGACTTAGAAGCCAAGTAGTTCCTCTGCCCTTGGATGGTAGTCCTCAGATCTTTAATATCCACCCTCGACATGCTATGGTCAGGTTAAGTGAGTTAACCAGTATTTTAGTTTTTCCCAAGCTCTGCTTTAGAAAATACCTCCTAAACTTTTTCCTACAAAGGTCTATAAAATCATAAATTACTCAGAGGTTTTAGATGGCATGATAGTTTGTAGTTTAGGTACCTGGCTCACACTTGGAGCAATGACAGGTTAGACTTCTAACAACATCCCAGAAAGTGATGCTGCTGAAATTGTTTTATATGTTTAAAATTGGATCCATTTATCATCCAACTGAATTTTGAACTACCTAGTTGCCTTGGAGCTTATTCCAGTCTGTATGGTATTAAATGTGTAAATTTTTCCTTAAATGCAGGTTCTTGCTTCTTTGCTACTCAGAAGGCTATTTGAAATATAAGAATCACCAATTCAAGAGACTATTACGTAGTTTGTGCTGTACATTTTGAGAGTAAAGAGCTTAGTAGTTTCAGGAATGTGTGTAGGTAGAAAGGACAGGCTTTGTATACATGGAAGAGATGTTTCTGTTCCTTTTACAAGATGTTAGCTTGACTAGACGAGGATAACTTTAATATGGCATCATCTCAGGAATTTAGGTTTTGATAATTTTAGTAATGAGTAAGTAAAAAGCTGAACTGTCCCCTGAATTTAATGGGAGAGTTCACCATAATTTGTAAGTAGGTAAGGTCATCTTTTGTTCTGACAGGGACAGGGGCATTGCAAATGTTTTCAAGCACATGTACCTCAGCACATTAAAACACCTGTGGTTGCCATTGGCATGGCTGGTGCATTTGGAAGAGGTAGAGGAGAGGGAGAAAGTAGGAAAGGAGGGAAGCACAACAAAAAAAGATTGGATGATGGGATGTGTGGTAGCAACAAACTTATGTTTGTAACCACCTTGAATGTCATTTGGGTGTATAACACGAGATCTTTTAGTTGGAATATGTGGTGCCTTATGTTTCGAGTTTGCAATATTTCTAGATTTTTAGATAACTCCAAAAGAGCCCATTGATCCAGAAAGGACATAGGTATATATTTACTTAGACAACCTAGAGTTCAGTGTTGTGTAATGGTTGTTACCTATCCAAACATGAATTTGTGAGGAACATCCATAAATATGTGGTAGCAGTGAGACTGCCTTGACAACCTTGTGAAGGCCCATTTGGTCTGGACTGCCTTGCTTTTATCTCAGGTTGGGCATTCTGCCACCACCATTCTGCAGTTCAGTGAATTAAGCTATTATCAGGCATCATGTACTAGAGCAAGTCTTTCTTTAGTTATTGCCATGGTACGAATGCTTAACATGGCAGTAAATGACCATTTTGAAATCCTCTTAGAACAATGTCATTGTTTGAATGCCTTCAGAGTTTAGATTTTTTTGATAAGTAATGATACTAGAAGCAGATGATCATTTGCTAATGAACAAGGCCTAAATTCGAGAGGTGGTCTGGGCTCTGTGACTGAGATACTTGTTTTGGTTTCTTTCATACTGGCCATAGAAATTTCTCTTTGCCTGTCTTATAAAGAGATTGTAAGTGTTGCAAAGTGAGTTTTAATTCTTCGTGTTGTGTACGTAGTCACTTTCCTTTCCATTTGACTGCTGTAGATGAAGACTTCATAAAAAACCTAACCCAAGATGAGACATCTAAGCTGGACCTTGGGATTGAGGAGTGGGATGTAGCTGGGCTGCCTTGGTGGTTTTTAGGAAACCTGAGGAGCAACTATACACCTAGAAGTAATGGCTCGACTGATTTACTGACAAATCAGGTAAATGTCACATTTGAAGAGGAACTTTTTGTTTTTTTTTATGGAAGCGTAACATTCTTGGTTACTCTTGACCACACATTGCATTCTGTAAGAATTCTCATTCAGTCCTATGACTTTAAGTACCATCTGTGTGCATCTGATGCTCAAATCTGTATCTGCAGCCCTGACCTCTTCTCTAAATGCCCAACTTCTAAATTCAGCTGCCTACTTAACACCTCCAGTTAGATGATCTGACATTTAACATGTTCAAACCAGAGCTCTTGATTTTTTTTTCTAAATTTTTTCCCATACATTCCTATTTAGCCTTTCCTTTTTCACAAATCTACCTTCTCCCCAGTTATTCCAGCCAAATCTAAGGGATATTATTGATTTCTTTCTCTGTCATACATCACACTCAGGTTATCAGTTCTTTATCCAAAGCAAATCCAAAATCTAACCACTTTTATTACCTCTGGTGTTAACACCCTAACTTAAACCATAATCATTCTATTCCTTTATCTTATTTTATATTCTCTCTTACACTTCTCACTTTGAAAAACTGTTATTCTATTTTGTTTATGTATTTGCTCCCACTGAAATGTAAGTCCAGGGCACTCTATTCTGTTACCTTGTACCTGGGAAAGTATCTGACACGCAATAGGAGTTCAGTGAGTTTTTGCTCAGGAAATGAATGGATATAGAATAGTGGCAAAATAATAAGTTCTTTCCTAGGAATATTGGAGAAAAGCATGTCATGGAATATCCATAGGTGAATGCACAAAGAAGGTTATATTTAAAGTTGTTCAGGAATCCAGGAAAGAGGATAGAAGATACGAGTTACCATCAGTATTTCTCGTATTCCAGTAAACATTTTTAAAAAGATGTTAATTAAGTAATTATTTTAGAGAGAATGAGCGAACAGAGGGATGGAGAACCTCAGACTCCTTGCTGAGGACAGAGCCCAACATGGGGCTCGATCTCACAACCCTGAGATCATGACCTGAGGCCAAGTCAAGAGTTGGATGCTTAATGGCTGAGCCACCCAGTCACCCCTCAATAAACATTACTGAACATAAAGGAAGTAATATGTCACAGTTAATGGAATGTTTTCTAGATTCTTCGAGTACTATCTTTGGAAAGGAATTTAGGGAACCATTTTTTTTTTTTTTTACCTTGAGCAATTACAGAGTCTTTAGCTTTTGAGCTCTTTGGTACAGTTTCTTAGATGTTATACCTTATTTACTGTTAAAATAGAAAATTCCTTGCCAGGCTCCCTATATCCATTCATTAGTTTATACATAGTGGGTGCTAGGTAGGTACCTGTTGAATAAATAGATGTTTGCTGAAGAAAGGCTATAGGTATTCTTTGGAGATGTGTGAAGATATTGACTTTTGGGTCATTTCTGTTGGTTCGGTGTCATCGATAAGCCTCTGACTACAGAAACTCACATTTGTTTTTTTCTTTTAGGATATAGGTACTGCTATTGTTTCAGACACCACAGATGACTTGTGGTTTTTGAATGAATCTGTATCAGAGCAGTTTGGTGTGGGAATAGAAGTTGAAGCTGCAGACACTGAACAAACAAGTGAAGAAGTAGGGAAAGTAAGAGACAAAAAGGTATGTTTGGAAAAATTTCATGTTCTATTTATGGGCACATAGTATAATCTGTTCAGATCTGCTATGTGACTCTGTACCACAGAAGACTCACATAATACCACTCTTTTACTTTTTAATGTTTTCCTGTATCCAGCTTTAAGATTCACTTTGTCTTAAAAATACACTGTCTTAAAAATAGGATAGGACTGTATTGGTATAACTCCTTCTTCCTTAAAACCAAGAAGCTGCCCTTTCCTACTTGTCTAATCTCTCAGAAGTGGAGTTTTTTATTCTGGAGACCTTAATTTGCTAACAAGGGGCAGAGTTGTTGTTGTTGTTGTTGTTATTGTTTTTGTTTTAAAGATTTTGTTTATTTATCAGAGCATGCACAAATGGTGGGTGAGGAGGGTCAGAGGGAGAGGGAGAAGCAGACTTCCTGCTGAGCAGGGATCCTGATGTGGGGCTTGATTCTAGGACTCTGGGATCACCACCTGAGCCAAAGGCAGATGTTTTAATAGACTGAGCCAGGTGCCCCTCCAAAGCAAAGTTCTAAATGGCTACAGCAGCCTGTAGGAAAAACACTTCCTGGTTCTTGGACATCTCAGTATCTTCCATAGTCATTCATATCTAAATGGAAATAGACAAGTGAGTTCTCCTTACATAATTTAGAGTTTAAGTAAGAGGAAAGAAGAGAGTTAGAACTCTGAATACACATGATGTGAGTAGTACACCAAGGTAAAGAGTCATAGAAACATGTGCTCAAGTCTCAAAAGAAATTGGACAGCAGATCTAATGTTGACATTGACAAGATTCTTAGTAAACATCTATTGAGTAAATATAGCAAAACACAGACCTAAATAGGTTCATCTTTTTATGAGATCTTCATAGTGATTTGGGTTCCTGAAGGATATCCTGGTATGTCTGTAGGCAGATTGATGTGTGGGTGCTGCTAGAATAATTGTATAAGTAGCATTAGAAGAGACTGCAAGTGGCTTGAAAGAAGACAAAGGTGACATTTGGAAACTTCCACTGAGAGAGATGGGACTGGGGGATCCCTGGGTGGCTCAGCTGTTTAGCGCCTGCCTTTGGCCTAGGGCGTGGTCCTGGAGTCTCAGGATCGAGTCCCACATCAGGCTCCTGGCATGGAGCCTGCTTCTCTCTCTGCCTCTCTCCCTCTCCCTCTCCCTCTCCCTCTCCCTCTCCCTCTATCTCTATCTCTATCTCTCTATGTCTATCATGAATAAATAAATAAAATCTTAAAAAAAGAGATGGGACTTAAAATACTTGAACTTGTATGAGAAACTTGTGTGCCATACTGAGGTTCCTAGTTGTGCCATAATTGATTTTACTCCATTTACTAGATCACAAAACAGGGTCTTAATTTTTAGAATTTTAAATTCTAAATTTGAAAATTTAGAAGATACTTCCCATATTTCTTGACTTTGTTTCCTGGTCCATGGGCACATTTTTTTTTAATAAATTAATTTTTATTGGTGTTCAATTTACCAACATACAGAATAACACCCAGTGCTCATCCCGTCAAGTCATGGGCACATTTTTATAGGAAAACAAGAGTATCACATAACTAGTTTTACTTTTTTGGTTTTTTTTTTTAGGTTTACTTTTTATTTTATTTTATTTATTTATTTATTTATTCATTCATTCATTCATTCATTCATTTATTTATTTATTTATGAGAGAGAGAGAGAGAGAGAGAGGCAGAGACACAGGCAGAGGGAGAAGCAGGCTCCATGCACCGGGAGCCCGACGTGGGATTCGATCCCGGGTCTCCAGGATCGCTTGAGCCAAAGGCAGGCACTAAACCGCTGTGCCACCCAGGGATCCCCTTTAGGTTTACTTTTGAATACGAAATTCACTTTTCATAAAATTCTTTGTTTTCATTCTTCACATCTCAGGTCCTTATTTTATGTAGTGTCTTTCACTTCATTTTTTTCATGCAGTCCTTATTCTTGTGTCTGCCCGCCTAGATTCCCAAAATAAAAAATTTCCACATTTAACGATTTGTAGCTTTCCTATTCTGATACTGTTTATTTTCATTCAGATCATACATTTGGGTACCCTCTTGTATTTGGTGACCCTTTTGCACACTTTTCAATCATTTCTTCTACTGAGCTGCCCGCTGGGCATGCACAGTCATTTATGCCATTTTCTTTTTAAGTGCTAGTGATAGAGGCAGAATGTGAGCCCTAAATTGAAGCTCTTCTGTCTCTTTTGCTCTCAGGTTATAGCCTCATCTTAACTAGGTGAACCTTACTAATGAAATGTCTTTGCCTTGCAGGTGATTGAAGTGGGAAAAAATGATGACCTTGAGGACTCTAAGTCCATAAGTGACGATACTGATGTAGAAGTTACCTCTGAGGTATGAGGAGCTGTTTTGCACCACACATGTCTTCACTGTGACATGTGCATTTGTGTTGCAGAAGGCCATTTCCCCCATTTCTATCTCCCTTTCCTTGATGTTAAGACATGTTGGCTTCTCTATATCTTGTTAGAGGTATTGGAATTTGGAGAAGAGGAGAATAAGTTGATCTAATCCTCTCCCCAACTTGAAAGGGTTGACTTAAATGCCTGTATGCCCTTCTCCGTGCTAACAAAATTCTTTGGATGTGATGCAGTGGATACACAGAGTTATTTAAAATAGTCCTGTACTACTTTGCCCACTAAACAACTCTCCATAGGTAGACCTATAAGCTATCTAAAATTCTTTGTCAAGGATAAAGATCATATTTTCACTGCTTTCTTAAAAAAAATTAATGGAAAATGACTTAATTTCTACACAAGTTTACACTAATGGAGGGCTAGTAAATGAAGATGTAACATTAAGCTATTAGGTATTAGGTGTGGATTTGTCACCAAATGTGACAACTGATGTTTAGACTCAGACCTTACCTTGCTTTTCTTTTTTCATTCTAGTTCTCCACTTTCAATGCTTCCTTCAGCTAACTTGCTGGAAAAGAGGGTGGTGGGGGAAGGAGAAGGGAGGGGATTTTACAGTTTGCTGCTAGAAAAGTTGTAGGTTGTCTCTGGTGTTGATCCTCCCCCAACTCCCAGCCCGCCACTGTTGACCATTATGATAATGCATTGCAAATTAATCTGTGCATAGCTAAGTAATAAGGTGGAATATGTTGGTCCATTAAGTGTTCTTGACCGTAATACAAATAGCAGAGATAAGTGTTTCCATCTTAATCAGACTTCTATGGCTACTTGGGCCCAGAAAACCTATTTAAGCAAATAGACTGTATTTCATCAAATCAAAGATGCCATTGAATTTAATAAGCCCTATTATTTTATGTACTACTAAAGAAGAAAAAGTGATGCCAATTAGACTGTGACACACCATTAGTTATGAGTTCTAAGTCTTTATGAAGTCCTTTTGAGTATCCGTATAGCATTTCATTTTTTTCTTTAATATTTTGTTTATTTGTTCATGAGAGACACAGAGAGGTAGAGACATAGGCAGAGGGTGAAGCAGGCTCTTTGTGGGAAGCCTGATGTGGGACTCGATCCCAGGACCCCGGGATCATGACCTGAGCAGATGCAGATACTCAACCTCTGAGCCACGCAGGCATCCCTCTCTATAGCATTTCAGATGAGATCCAAGGATCTTTTTTTTTTTTTTTTTTTTTTTTTTTTTTTTTTTTTTTTTTTTTTTTTAGATCTAAGATCTTAAACTGGTAAGAATGTTTTGAGGGTCTCTGAGGACCATCCGGTTTATTTATTTATTTTATTATATTTTTTTAAGATTTTATTTATTTATTCATGAGACACAGGCAGAGACACAGGCAGAGGAAGAAGCAGGCTCGCTGTGAGGAGCCTGATGCAGGACTCGATCCCAGGACCACAGGATCATGACCTGAGCAGATGCAGATACTCAACCACTGAGCCACCCAGGTGCCCCTAGGACCATCCAGTTTAATAGATTATTGTGTCCCCTGTCTCTTGGCCTAGGCAGTTGAGTTATGCCTTCTAAACTTGAAGTGTGCAGCCTTCATTCCGAAAATTACCAAGTCTGCCTGTGTCAAATCATTGGTCCTGTCAAAAAAACCAGGCATTTATCCACATTAAATACTCTTGTTCTAGGTAGCTACCTTTGCATTAAGCAAGGCATTTAAAATTCGTTGAGCTCCAGTATCTCCTAATTTGAATATGGAGAAGTAGGCAAAAAGTTACTGGCATCCAAGGATGGAACATTCATTTTTCAGAGGGTAGGGCTTAGGCATAGAGTATGTAATCTCTGATCCTGAGAGCAGTGTGAGAGCTTGAGTAATGTAGTTTTCAAACCTCATTTTACTTTTAGGTTCCTTTTTTCCAAATTTTATAACATTTCTTAATGGGAAGGAATGAGAATATTAGCTTTTCCTCATTCTTTAGTGTCTTGCTCAATAAAAGAGTAAGTTGTACAATGAGAAATGAACTAAAAAGAAGGCAGCAGGGAAAAGCAAGCAATGTAAATTCCATCCAGACTAGCTAGATCTCCAGAATAATGAGTTTAACTTTCTTAAAGATAGCTGTTTCATATTTTGACTTGAAATGGCTATTGTGTCACTGTCCTGTAAAACTTCTCAAGACTTTCTTACATGTGGCTGTAGGATTTGTTCACATGCAAGGCTAGACCACTGATGTGGAATGTCTGGATTCTGACTAGCCTGGTGAGATGTTGAGATTTGGCCTACTCTCCCTTTTTCTCAGTTTCATGTTCACCACTGAATATTAATTGGCTGCACTTGTCGTTTTAGGATGAGTGGCAGTGTACTGAGTGCAAGAAATTTAACTCTCCAAGCAAGAGGTACTGTTTTCGTTGCTGGGCATTGAGGAAGGATTGGTATTCAGATTGCTCTAAGTTAACCCATTCTCTCTCCACGTCTGATATCACTGCCATACCCGAGAAGAAGGAAAATGAAGGCATTGATGTCCCCGATTGCCGAAGAACCATATCAACTCCAGTTGTTAGGCCTAAAGATGTATGTACAAAGGAAGAAAAAAACCCCAAGCTTTTTGATCCCTGCAACTCAGTGGAATTCTTGGATTTGGCCCACAGTTCTGAAAGCCAAGAAACCATATCAAGCATGGGAGAACCATCAGATAACCTTTTTGCACAGAGAACAGATACAGAAAACATGGAGGATTGCCAGAATCTCTTGAAGCCGTGTAGTCTGTGTAAGAAAAGACCACGAGACGGGAACATTATTCATGGGAGGACAGGCCATCTTGTCACTTGTTATCACTGTGCCAGAAGATTGAAGAAGGCTGGGGCTTCATGCCCTATATGCAAGAAAGAGATTCAGTTGGTGATTAAGGTTTTTATAGCGTAGCTGACTCAGTGAATTGTAGAGAAATACTAACAGAGCTAGGGCATGTATCAAAATGTCAGTATTCAGCATCTCTACTCAGCATAACCCACTGCATCTGTTTATTTATTTATGTAAACATCTGTGTTTCACGACATTTTTGCTTCTATACGTAGAGGAATTTTGAGAATGAGTTCTTTAGAACTAGAGTGTCAATTTGGGGGACTTGACATGAAAAAATACGTTCATTACTTTTACTCTCTTTAAAGATGAGGATCTGGGAGAAAGCAACTGCCAGTACAAACAAAAGTAATTTGGCCCTAATTCATTCACTTACAAAGTTACTTGAAGATTTATTATTTCTTCAGTTAATTTTATTCCCTGTTCTTTTTTTTTCTGTTATGGAATGTTCTTAGGCATCAATATAGGGTGGCTGTTAGAAAAATCTTAGAGCTAACAATGAAAAAAACATAAGTAATTTGATTAGTGAAGTTATGTAGTGCTGTAGATCACTTTATAGTTGGAGTCAGGCTGCACAATTTGGATAAGCCAAAAGAAAAGTCTTGAAAACGAGATTTCTTCCATGTGTGCCTAGAACACTTGTTATTGAACTTTTTTTTTTTCTTTTAAGATTTATTTATTCATGAGAGACACACAGAGAGAGGCAGAAACACAGGCAGAGGGAGAAGCAGGCTCTTTGCAGGGAGCCCGATGTGGGACTCAATCGCAGAATCACACCCTGAGTTGAAGGCAGATGCTCAACCTCTGAGCCACCAGGCATCCCAAGTATTGAGCATTTTTGCTAACATGTCTCTGAAAGAATTTTGAAAAAATATATATAATCTTCTGCACAGAATTAATATTGTGAAAATGTCAATGTTACCCAGGGCAATTTACACGTTTAATGCAATCCCTATCAAAATACCATGGACTTTATTCAGAGACTTAGAAAAAATTATTTTAAGATTTGTGTGGAATCAGAAAAGACCCCAAATAGCCAGGGGAATTTTAAAAAAGAAAACCATAGCTGGGGGCATCACAATGCCAGATTTCAGGTTGTACTACAAAGCTGTGGTCATCAAGACAGTGTGGTACTGGCACAAAAACAGACACATAGATCAATGGAACAGAATAGAGAACCCAGAAGTGGACCCTGAACTTTATGGTCAACTAATATTCGATAAAGGAGGAAAGACGATCCACTGGAAGAAAGACAGTCTCTTCAATAAATGGTGCTGGGAAAATTGGACATCCACATGCAGAAGAATGAATCTAGGACCACTCTCTTGCACCATACACAAAGATAAACTCAAAATGGATGAAAGATCTAAATGTGAGACAAGATTCCATCAAAATCCTAGAGGAGAACACAGGAAACAACCTTTTTGAACTCGGCCACAGTAACTTCTTGCAAGATACATCCACGAAAGCAAAAGAAACAAAAGCAAAAATGAACTATTGGGACTTCATCAAGATAAGAAGCTTTTGCACAGCAAAGGATACAGTCAACAGAACTCAAAGACAACCTACAGAATGGGAGAAGATATTTGCAAATGACCTATCAGATAAAGGGCTAGTTTCCAAAATCTATAAAGAACTTATTAAACTCGGGGATCCCTGGGTGGCGCAGCGGTTTGGCGCCTGCCTTTGGCCCAGGGCGCGATCCTGGAGACCCTGTATCGAATCCCACGTCAGGCTCCCGGTGCATGGAGCCTGCTTCTCCCTCTGCCTGTCTCTCTGCCTCTCTCTCTCCCTCTCTGTGTGACTATCATAAATAAATAAATTTTAAAAAAAAGAACTTATTAAACTCAACAGCAAAGAAACAAACAACCCAATCATGAAATGGGCAAAAGACATGAAGAGAAATCTCACAGAGGAAGACATAGACATGGCCAACACGCACATGAGAAAATGCTCCGCATCACTTGGCATCAGGGAAATACAAATCAAAACCACACTGAGATACCACCTCACACCAGGGGGAATGGGGAAAATTAACAAGGCAGGAAACAACAAATGTTGGAGAGGATGCGGAGAAAAGGGAACCCTCTTACACTGTTGGTGGGAATGTGAACTGGTGCAGCCACTCTGGAAAACTGTGTGGAGGTTCCTCAAAGAGTTAAAAATACACCTGCCCTACGACCCAGCAATTGCACTGTTAGGGTTTTACCCCAAAGATGCAGATGCAATGAAACGGCGGGACACCTGCACCCTGATGTTTCTAGCAGCCATGTCCACAATAGCCAAACTGTGGAAGGAGCCTCGGTGTCCATCGAAAGATGAATGGATAAAGAAGATGTGGTTTATGTATACAATGGAATATTCCTCAGCCATTAGAAACGACAAATACCCACCATTTGCTTCAACGTGGATGGAACTGGAGGGTATTATGCTGAGTGAAGTAAGTCAATCGGAGAAGGACAAACAGTGTATGTTCTCATTCATTTGGGGAATATGAATAATAGTGAAAGGGAATATTAGGGAAGGGAGAAAAAATGTGTAGGAAATATCAGAAAGGGACACAGAACATAAAGACTCCTAACTCTGGGAAATGAACTAGGGGTGGTGGAAGGGGAGGAGGGCGGGGGGTGGGGGTGAATGGGTGACGGGCACTAAGGGGGACACTTGACGGAATGAGCACTGGGTGTTATTCTGTATGTTGGTAAATTGAACACCAATAAAAATTTTATATAAAAAAATAATCTTCTGCACATTTTACACCTTGGGGTATGATTAGCAAACAATATTCTTTTCTGGTGAGTTGTAGACATCTGAGCAGCCAATCTAAAACAAGCCCTGGACCGTTTCTGTCCCCTTAGAGTGTTCACCTGTGCCCCTTTCTAAGCAGTTCCTCCTCCCATTTCCTGGCTGTCATTCTAGGTTAGTTTTCCTTTTGCACGTGTTTAATGTGACCTCTAAATTTTTAAGACTAAGTACTTACAAAGGATACTCTATCCAATATATTGTATATGTGCCTTAAAAATACTTTTCTCAAAGTCTTGGAGCTAGCTGTAGGTTTAGCTGATGGAATTTATAGGAAAATTCCTATCATTTAAAATAGCAAAGCCTGTTCTCATCTTAAAATTCACCAGCCAGATCAGATTTCATTTTCTTTTTTTTTAATTTTATTTATTTATTTACAATAGTCATACAGAGAGAGAGAGAGAGAGGGCAGAGACACAGGCAGAGAGAGAAGCAGGCTCCATGCACCGGGAGCCTGACGTGGGATTCGATCCCGGGATTCCAGGATCACGCCCTGGGCCAAAGGCAGGCGCCAAACCGCTGCGCCACCCAGGGATCCCCAGATTTCATTTTCATGCAGAAGATGTTTGACTTTATTTTATTTTTATTTTTTTATTTTTTTAATTTTTTTATTTTTTTTAATTTTTTTAAATTTATTTACGATAGTCACAGAGAGAGAGAGAGAGAGAGAGAGACGCAGAGACACAGGCAGAGGGAGAAGCAGGCTCCATGCACCGGGAGCCCGACATGGGATTCGATCCTGGGCCAAAGGCAGGCGCCAAACCCCTGCGCCACCCAGGGATCCCTGACTTTATTTTTAATTCAAATAAATGCATTAACACATTTCTGGCACAACCTTCTCAATTATAGTCCTAAGATCGATGTAGTACAGAGTTTTAAACTAAGCTCTCTGCTTTACTCTGTCCTCATTGTCCCTTGAGAATTTTCTGTTTTTTTTTTTTTTTGTTCTTTTGTTTTATTGTCTCCAGAGTGTTTTTTACATTCTGAGGCAATGCCCCATAGTAAGATTCTAGATGGGTGAGAGTCAGCCTTTCTTTTGGAAATTCAGAACATGGCAGTTGTGAAAATGAAAATAAAGAAAAATGTTAGATCTGAAGAATCCTTATCTGAGCACGTAGTCTTAGAGCAATACATATGGAAATTGAAGATCTTTAAGCTGATGTGCTTATCCATATCCTTGTCTGCTGTCCCCATGGAAAAAAAATCCTTTAAAAAAAAGAAAGATTTTATTTATTTGAGAGAGAGCAAGTACATGTGAGAGAGCGCAAGTGGCGGAGAGGGAGAAGGAGGCTGCCCATTGATCAAGGAGCCCAATGTGGGCTTGATCCTAGGACCCTGGGATCACAAACTGAACCAAAGGCAGCTGCTTAACTGAGCCACCCAAGTGCCCCTCCCCATGGAAGAAATCTTGATGTATACCCATGGGTATGCATATGAGATTTTGAAGACCATGGCCCTAGAATTAACAAATTTATGGATTGAAAAATCACCTGGAAAATTTAAAAAAAAAAAAAGGGATCCCTGGGTGGCGCAGGGGTTTGGCGCCTGCCTTTGGCCCAGGGCGCGATCCTGGAGACCCAGAATCGAATCCCACGTCGGGCTCCCGGTGCATGGAGCCTGCTTCTCCCTCTGCCTGTGTCTCTGCCTCTCTCTCTTTCTCTCTCTGTGACTATCATAAATAAATAAAAATTTAAAAAATTTAAAAAAAAATAAAAATAAATAAAAAAAAGAAAAACCACCTGGGTTGCTTGTTAAGAAAAGCACAAGTTAAAAAAAAAAAAAAACATTCTGATTTCTATGATGATTTTTCACTCGTTATTCTTCATTTTCCCTACTGTATATGTATCTCTACCCAAAAGACTTTAGTTTTGCCTTTTTCTGAATGTATATGCATATTATATATTCTCTTTCATTATTCTATTTTTGAGATTCATTCATGTTAGTCTCAAAACTCATTTTTATTACTAACTAGTATTCCACTCTGAATATACTAAATATTCAGTAGTTCTATTGTTTATAGATGCTTGGGTTGTTCACAGTTTTTTGTTATTTGCTTTTGCTATCAGAAGCAATCTTGTCATGAATACTGCTTTACATATCTAAGCGTGCAAGAATTTCTTTAGGAGTAATAATACTGGGCCATCAGTTGTATATACATTCAGTTTCCTTTCAAAAGTGGACCATCTCCAGTACTGTGAAAGAGATCACTTTGCATCTTTGGCAATACTTAATTTTGTCAGGCTTACTAATTCTTGCTGATTTTTTTAAAATTTATTCACGAGAGACACACAGAGAGAGGCAGAAACACTGGCAGAGGGAGAAGCAGGCTCCTCGCAGGGAGCCTGATGCAGCACTCAATCCTGGGACCCTGGGATCACGCCCTGAGCCAAAGGCAGAGGCTCAACCACTGAACTACCCAAGTGCCCCAATTCTTGCTAATTTAATAGACCTTAAGCATGAATTGTAGTTACTGTTTGCATGTCAGTCTTCTTGCCCATTATTATCAGTTCATAGGAATTCTTCACATATTCTGGATACCAATTCCTGTTGGTTAAATATCTTTTCCAAGGGATGTGGCTTAGCTTTTCCCATTCTTGATGGTACTTTTTCATTAATAAAAATTAACTCTAATGTGACTAATTTTTTTCCTTTATGTAGTCTACTTTTTATTACTGATTTATGACCTCATATCAAGGAAAGATAGCTTAAAGCTATTGTTCTATATTGTCTTCTAAATACCTCATATATAGCTTTGCTTTTCCTAGTTAGGTCTTTAACCTAATTAGAAGAGCTTTTTGTGTATGACATGAGGTAAGGATTTCATTGTACTTTTTTTTTCCAGCATCACCTTACAATATAGTCTGTATTTTACCTACAGAACCACTCTCATCCATCAGAGGTCCAAATGCACAGGTCTAGTTCTGGGCACCCATCTGCTCAGTTAGGCTTTCTGTCCATCACCATACCATTACATCATGGTCTAAATTACTATAAAGTTTATAGTAGTTTATACTATAAATTTATACTACTTAGCTTTGTATCTCTGAGAGCTAGTCCCACTTGCTTTATTTTTAAAGATTGCCATGGCTCTTTACAGCCCTGGTACTTTCCCATGAATTTTATTTTATTTTATTTTTTAAAGATTTTATTTATTCATGAGAGACACACAGAGAGAAAGAAAAAGAGAGGCAGAGACACAGGCAGAGGGAGAAGCAGGCTCCCTACAGGGAGCCTGACGTGGGACTCGATCCCGGGTCTCCAGGATCGCGCCCTGGGCAAAGGCAGGCGCTAAACCGCTGCGCCACCCAGGGATCCCAAGATAATATTATTCTTTCCATTTTCTAGATGGGAACATCTGAGGTTTCCAGAGAGTCCAGGGAACATGCCCAAGGTCACAGGGAGCTGAGGATCACAGAATCACTGGGTTCTATTGCCTTACCCAAG